CCCTCCCCAGCCCCCCTCCCCCTCACTGACGCCCCGAGCTGCCCGGGGTCGCTGCGCAGGGTCTCCAGCAGCCGCCGGTACTCGGGGTCCCCCAGCAGCCCCCGCGTCCGGGGGTCGGCCTCGAGCCGCGCCAGGAGGTCGGGGGCGCTGAAGGGGTTCAGCAGCTTCCGCTCTGCAACGGGGTCACACGGGGGGGGCAGGCACCCCAAAAATCCTCTCAGGGGTTTGCAAATCCTGCTCTGAACACCCCGAACCCGCCCTTCTGCACCTGCCCGGGACCCTTGAACTCTCTGGGCCACCCAAAACCTTTCAGGACCACCCAAAATCTTCCAGGGACACCCAAAACTTCTCCAGGCCACCCAAAACCGCCCCGGGACCCTGGAACTCTCCTCAAAACCTCTCCAGGACCACCCAAAATCTTGCAGGGGACACCCAAAACCTTTCAGGACCACCCAAAATCTTTCAGAAACACCCAGAAGTACTCCAGGCCACCCAAAACTTCTCCAGAGACACCCAAAACCTTCCAGGGCAACCAAAACATCTCCTGGCCACTCAAAACCTTTCAGGGCGACCCAAAATCTTTCAGGGCCATCCAAAACCTCTCCAGGAACACCCGAAACTTCTCCAGGCCACTCAAAACATTTCAAGGCCACCCAAAACCTCTCAGGGCCACCCCAAAGCCACTGCAGGGACACCAAAAATCTTTCAGGGCCACCCAAATCCTTTCAGGGACACCCAAAATCTTTCAGGGCCACCCAAAACCTCTCAGGGCCACCCCAAAGCCACCGCAGGGAGCTCCCCCCAGCCCCCCAGAGCCCCCTACCCGCCAGCCTGGCCTCCACCCCGCGCAGGCCCTGCAGGAGCTGCTCGTTGCCCGGCTCCCGAGCCAGCCCCTCCTCGTAGGTGGCCTTGGCCTCCTCCAGGCGCTGCAGGAACTCCAGAGCCGCCGCCTTCCGCGAATACCCCTGGGGACACGGCGGGGACAGCAGGTCACAGCCCTGAGCCGCCTCCGTGGGGCCGGGACCCCCACCCTGAGCCCCTCCCCACCACAGGCAGACCCCCTGCCCCGACCTTCCATGGGATCTCCCATGGGCAGAGCCCTGAGACCCCCCAGTCCTGCCCCTCTATGGGATCCCCCAACACCCTGAGACCCCCCAGTCCTGTCCCTACATGGGATCCCCCAACACCCTGAGACCCCCCAGTCCTGTCCCTACATGGGATCCCCCAACACCCTGAGACCCCCCAGTCCTGCCCCTCCATGGGATCCCCCATGGTCAGACCCCCTGAGACACCCCAGTCCTGCCCCTCCATGGGATCCCCCAGACCCCCTGAGCTGCTCCAGGACCCTTCCCACCCCAGCACAACCTCCCTGGCCCAGCTCAGCACCGGGGCAATCCCACCTTGTGTCCCCTCCCAAAGCCCCAAATTCAGGCAGCTTCTCCCACCTCTGCTCTCTGCAGGCAGGCAAAGCCCTTTCCCACAGACATGGCTCTGCACTACTTTTGATATTTAAATTGAGCCTTAATCAAAGCTGGATCCGCATGGGTTTAGAGGCACTACATAATTAATATATTCATATCTGAAATGTAATTACTGCTGTTGCATCATATATTTAAAGCCAACAGCTGGCTATTTCAGGTGAGGGAGACACTTTCATTGGGATGAAACAATCCTGCAAGCAACAGTGCAGGGTTTTTTTGGCTCACGACCACTCCTGAGGAGGCAAACTCACCAGGAACACCCAGAGCTTGGGACACATCCCCTGGCTGAGCTCCCTGAGCCTTGCTGAGATCCTGAAGGATTCCCCAGGATATTCCTGTTGGATTTCCTATCACAGCAGTCAGAGCCCTCTCTAAAGCAGGTTTAATTTCTGTTTCTGGGGTGTGGGGTTATAAAATGTCCCTTAACCCACTGGGTGCACACAGGAACTGAATTTCTGCACATTTATTGGATTTTCTCACTCAAGGCACTCAGCTGAGTTTGAATTGTGTGTTTTCATCAGCCAGAAGTAATCACAATCAACATTTTAATTAAGATAAAGAGAATGGACAGAATTTTAGGACTTGTTAACCACAAACAAAGAGATGAAAGGAAATTTCACTGTTTATAATTCTTTGTATTACAATCAGTGTAAACTACAAAAGAAACACATTAAACACTACTGTTTAATAAAAAAACCTTTAGCTCTGAAGCCATACCCTCAGCCTGAAGAAATTACAAACCTGTTCCTTCAAAGGGATCCCCCAGACCCCCTGAGACCCCCCAGTCCTGTTCCCTCTATGACCCCCTAGAAACTGTACAGACCCCCCAAAATCAGCCCCCTGCCCTGTCCCCTAAATGACCCCATAGGGGCTGCACAGACGCCCAGATCAGCCCCCCACCCCATCCCCTGAACGACCCCAGGGGAGCTGTACAGACCCCCAAGACCACCCCCCATGACCCAACAAGTGCTGCTCCCCCAAGGTCAGCCCCCCATAACCCAATGGGGGCTGTACCCCCCAGACCATCTCCCCACCCTATCCCCTCCACATGCCCCTCACACGGCCCAGATC